GCTGGAGTGCAAGGGCGCGATCTCGGCTCACCGCAACCTCCACCTCCTGGGTTCAGGCAATTCTCCTGCCTCAGCCTCCCGAGTAGCTGGGATTACAGGGACGCGCCACCATGCCCAGCTAATTTTTTGTATTTTAGTAGAGATGGGGTTTCACCATGTTGACCAGGATGGTCTCGATCTCTTGACCTTGTGATCCACCCGCCTCGGCCTCCCAAAGTGCTGGGATTACAGGCGTGAGCCACCGCGCCCAGCCCGCCTCCCAGTTTTAAGTGATTCTCCTGGCTCAGCCTCCTGAGTAGTGGGATTACAGGTGCCCACCACCATGTCCAGATAATTTTTTATTTTTAATAGAGACGGGCTTTCACCATGTTGGTCAGGCTGCTCTCAAACTCCAAGTCACCTGCCTGCCTCAGGCTCCCAAAGTGCTGGGATTACAGCCATCAGTCACTGCACCCAGCCATACAGACATTATTAAAACTAAAAGTTTAAAAACAAAGGAAAATGAAAAATTACCCAGAGACAGTCCCTATTAAAACATTTTGATGTATAGTCTTCTGTCCTTTATTGACACATATCTATTTGGGAAGATTTAACAAATCTTTAATAAAATGAGACACCAGACATCGTTTTTGTATTTTCATGTACATATTTCCTTTTTGAGATGGAGTCTCACTCTGTCACCCAGGCTGGAGTGCAATGGCATGATCTCGGCTCATTTCAATCTTCACCTCCTGGTTCAAGCAATTCTCCTACTTCAGCCTCCTGAGTAGCTGGGATTACAGGTGCGAGCCAGCATGCACAGGTAATTTTTATATTTTTAGTAGAGGGGGTACACCATGTTGGTCAGGCTGGTCTTGAACTCCTGACTTTGTGATCTGCCCACCTCAGCCTCCCAAAGTGCTGGGATTACAGGTGTGAGCCACTGTGCCCAGCTCACGTATATATTTTTTCACTCTCCTTTTATAATATATACATTTGGGGAAGTTTGCAAAAATGAGAATATTCTAACCTTTTAAAATATAGTTTGTGTTAATATATTTCATGTACTTATTTCCTTTTGAGACGGAGTTTCGCTCTTGTTACCCAGGCTGGAGTGCAATGGCGCGATCTCGGCTCACCGCAACCTCCGCCTCCTGGGTTCAGGCAATTCTCCTGTCTCAGCCTCCTGAGCAGCTGGGATTACAGGCACGCGCCACCATGCCCAGCTAATTTTTTGTAGCTTTAGTAGAGACGGGGTTTCAACGTGTTGACCAGGATGGTCTCGATCTCTTGACCTCGTGATCCACCCGCCTCGGCCTCCCAAAGTGCTGGGATTACAGGCTTGAGCCACCGCGCCCGGCTTGTGTTAATATATTTTAATGTAGACTAGGAACAGTGGCTCACACCTGTAATCCCAGCCTCTGGGAGGCTGAGGTAGGCAGATCACTTGAGCCCAGGAGCTCAAGACCAGCCTGGGGGAGAAAATATAAAAATTAGCTGGCATGGTGGTGTACACCTGTGGTCCCAGCTACTTGGGAGGCTGAGGTGGGAGGATCACTTGAGCCCAGAAGGCAGAGGTTGTGTTGAGCCGAGATCATGCCAGTGCACTCCAGACTGGGAAACTGAACAAGACATCGTCTTGAAAACATAATTTTTTTGATGCATATTCTCTGTCCTTTTTTGTATAGACCCACAGGGAATATTTCAAAAGTGAGAACTTATTATACATGCTATTCAAAATGTTTTTTCCCCTTATCAAGAACACCTATTTATGTATTTAATATGCTTCCATTACAATTTTTTTTTTTGAGACAGAGTCTCGCTCTTGTCCCCTAGGCTGGAGTGCAATGGTGCGATCACGGCTCACTGAAACCTCCGCCTCCTGAGTTCCAGTGATTCTCCCGCCTCAGCCTGCCGAGTAGCTGGGATTACAGGTGTCCACCACCATGCCCCTTTAGTTTTTGTATTTTCAGTAGAGACAGGGTTTCACCACATTGGCCAGGCTGGTCTCCAACTCCTGACCTCAGATAATCCACCCTCTTTGGCCTCCCAAAGTGCTGGGATTACAAGTGTGAACCACTGTGCACAGCCTTACCACTGTGCACAGCCTTTTTTTTTTTTTTTTTTTTTTGAGACAGAGTTTCGCTCTTGTTACCCAGGCTGGAGTGCAATGGCGCGATCTCGGCTCACCGCAACCTCCACTTCCTGGGTTCAGGCAATTCTCCTGCCTCAGCCTCCTGAGTCGCTGGGACTACAGGCACGCGCCACCATGCCCAGCTAATTTTTTGTAGTTTTAGTAGAGACGGCGTTTCACCATGTTGACCAGGATGGTCTCGATCTCTTGACCTCGTGATCCACCCGCCTCGGCCTCCCAAAGTGCTGGGATTACAGGCTTGAGCCACCGCGCCCGGCCTTTTTTTTTTTTTTTTTTTCCTCAGGAGTCTCGCTCTGTTGCCCAGGCTGGAGTGCAGTGACACAATCTTGGCTCAATGCAACCTCTGTCTCCAGAATTCAAGCAATTCTTATGCCTCAGCCTCTCGAGTAGCTTGGATCACAGATGTGCACACCATGCCAGGCTAATTTTTGTATTTTTACACAGACGGTTTCACCATGTTGGCCAGGATGATCTTGAACTCCTGACCTCAAGGGATCCACCCGCCTCAGCCTCCCAAAGTGCTGGGATTACAAGCGTGTGCCACCATGCCTGGCCTCCTCGTAACATTTTAAACAGCAGTTATAATAAATCTGCATGAATACCATTTAATGCCTATGGAACTAATACAGCTAGTGCTCGACTTACGACCACGGTCAGGACCGGGGACCGGTCGTAACACGATTTGGTTGTAAGCTGAATAGGCTATATGTACAGTTGAAATGGTGCACGCGGAGATGGTAGTGCTGCCGGAAGCTGTCCACACTGTCGTACGCCCAGCTGGGCAACGTTTGCGCTGCCAGACGCGGAGCAGTCGTGGCTAGCGATTGTGGTCGTAAAGTCGAATGGTCGTAAGTTGCATAGGTCGTAAGTCGATCAATACCTGTAACTAGTCTTCTATTGTGCAGTGCTACTAGTCACATATGTAGATGTTTTCGTGATTCTCACATACACAAACCCACCTAAAAGCATTATATACCCAGATACTCATTGCAGCCTGAATACCAAGTTGAGAACAACTTAACTTAAACATCAGTCAGCAGGTGACCGGTTAGTTTTTCTTGTTTTGTTTTTGAGATGGGGTCCGCTCTGTTTGTTCACCCAGGCTGGAGTGCAGTGGCAAGATCATAGCTGACTGCAACCTCCGCCTCCAGGATTCCAGCGACCCTCCCACCCGTCTCCCGAGTAGCTGGGACCATAGGTGCATACCACCATGCCTGGCTAATTTTTGTATTCTTTGTATAGATGGAGTCTGGTTATGTTGCCCAGGCTAGTCTCAAACTCCAGGGCACAAATGATCCTCCTGCCCTGGCCTCCCAAAGTGCTGGGATTATAGAAGTGAGCCACTGTGTCCTGGCCCCAAAGAACATCACGTAGCTATTAACAAGGATTTCCCATTAGTCTTGATATGCCACAATCTCCAAGACACTTAGTACAACACACCCTACAATGTGTATTATGAATTGCCCTTTGTGTGGGGAAATGATTATATTCATACATAAGTTTATAAATTCGGAAAGCATTATGAAAATTCCGAGTATCCAGAGGTAACTGTGCTTGTCTCTAGTGTTGAACTAGAGGCGGGAGGAAGATTTAATTTTCACCACATGCCCTTTGGTGCCTTTTGAATTCAGAACAATTTCCATTATCTATTAAAAATAAAATACAGGCTGGGCGCGGTGGCTCACGCCTGTAATCCCAGCATTTTGGGAGGCCGAGGTGGGTGGATCACAAGGTCAAGAGATGGAGACCATCCTGGCCAACACGGTAAAACTCTGTCTCTACTAAAAATACAAAAAATAGCTGAGTGTGGTGGTGTGTGCCTGTAGCCCCAGCTACTTGGGAAGCAGGAGAATCACTTAAACCCGGGAGGCAGAGGTTGCAGTGAGCCAAGATCGCGCCTCTGCACTCCAGCCTGGCGACAGAGCAAGACTCCATCTCGAAATAATAAATACGTAAATAAAAATAAAAATAAAATACCGGCTGGGGTGGTTTACGCCTGTAATCCCAGTGCTTTGGGAGACCGAGGTGGGAAGATCACTAAAGCTAAGGAGTATCACTTGAGCTCAGGAGTTTGAGACCACCCTGGGCAACACAGTGAGCCCCTGTGTTTACAAATATGACACATCACGTGTTACTGAATCCCTGGTATTTGGCGGGACAGTGGATACTGGGAACAACTGTGGAGCTCTTTGGAAATGTACCTTAAAAGGGAGGCCTTTCAAAGGCTGGACACCATGACTCTACAAGGGTGTTTTCAAATCTGCCATAAGGGCCCAACATCTCAGCAGCATCCTGAGCCCTAACGGATGGACAGGTTCTGAGGTCTCAACACCCATCGCACCAGTTCTGCAGCTTTCTAAAGGCATCCAGCACTTTCCACCTTTCTATCGTCATCCTCGCTGGGCCTTACAGCACCGCATGATCCCGGGGGAGGGTGCTTATCAGTCTCCTCTGTGTGTCCCCATGGCATCTAGGGCACCGTCAAGCGCACGGTCCAGAAAGCTTCAATCAAAAGGATAAAAACAGCAAGGGAGCCGGGCACGGTGGCTCACGCCTGTAATCTGAACACTTTGGGAGGCTGAGGTGGGTGGATCACCTGAGGTCAGGAGTTCAAGACCAGCCTGGCCATCATGGTGAAACCCCATCTTAAAAAAAAAAAAACAAAACAGCAAGGGAAGGAGACTGAGGGGCAGACCGCGCGAGTAGGGGCGGGAGGAGGCCCACCCTACGCCCTGCCCCCAGCAGAGCACAAGCCCAGCTCGCGTCCCGAGCTCCCGGGTCCGCAAAGCCGGACCCCACTTAACCGCAACACGCCGGAGCCCAGGAGCGTGGACTGCCGAGCTCCTCCCGTGCGCAATGACGTCGGGACTGCGGCGCGAGGGGTGGGGCCTCAGCCGCTGTGCAGCCACGGACCAATGAGCAGGCGCCGGACGACCCGTGGCCCAATGGTGGCGGCGCGCGGGCACGCTGGGGGCGGGCCGGGCGCGCCGACTTTTCCAGAAGACCCGGATAGTGCCTCCCGGCCACGCCGCGCCGGCTCTGAGCTTTCCGCACGCCGAGTCGCTTCCTTTTCCTCCACTGGAGCAGCTATGGCGGCGGTCAAGACCCTGAACCCCAAGGCCGAGGTGGCCCGAGCACAGGCGGCGCTGGCGGTCAACATCAGCGCGGCGCGGGGTCTGCAGGACGTGCTGAGGACCAACCTGGGGCCCAAGGGCACCATGAAGATGTAAGGCGGGGCTGGCGGGAGGGCCGGGCGGGCACCGCGCGCCGCCGCTGACCTGGGCCCTGGGCCGCGGACTAGAGCCCGCCGCCTCGGGGCTCCGCAGCCACCCTTTCCTGCGTCCTCCCTGGCCGGTCCTGTTCCCTGCTAAGCCTCACCGTCCCGGCCATTTGTCCCTGCGTCGATGTCGTCTCCGTGGAGAACAAAGCGGCTCTAGTGCGCGGCGTTCCCCTTCCTCTGGGGCTTCCAGGCACCCTGAGGATTCGGCACAATCTCTGCTGGGACAGGGTGGGCACTACTGTCCTGCCTCCGGGAGATAACTAGCCCCATATCCCCGGCTCCCTAACCTCTGGGAAAAGCCTGTTTTCTAATGGGACTTTTAAATTTAGTTTTTGTTGAAAAAGTCAGTCTGATTCATCTCTTCCTCTTAAACAGGCTTGTTTCTGGCGCTGGAGACATCAAGCTTACTAAAGACGGCAACGTGCTGCTTCACGAAATGGTGAGAGGTGCTCTGCTAGGTCAAAAAGGTCTTGATTTTCCGTACAATGTTTGCTTTGTAGAAAGATTTGCAATGTCCATTTTCAAGGTAGGAGAACATTCAGAAGCGGCATGTATTCAGTAATAGTGCTGACAGTGCCTGGAGTGGGACAGCCCTGTCTTTGAATCTCTACTTTTTTGCCATTTACAGCCCGAGTTAAAGGACTGTCATTGTATATTAAAGTTAATTATAAGAAAATTTGAAAAATTAAGAGTGATGTTGACACAATCACGTGGGCAAAATGTGTAAGGGTGGTTTTTCTTTTCTTTAAGGTGGAGTCTCACTCTGTTGCCCAGATATAGTGGAGTGGCACAATCTCGGCTCACTGCAATGTTCGCCTCAAGGGTTCAAGCGATTCTCCTGACTCAGCCTACTAAGTAGCTGGGATTACATGCTCATGTCAGCATGCCCGGCTAATTTTTGTTTTTTTATTTTGTTTTTTTTGAGACGGAGTCTTACTCTGTTGCCCAGGGCTGGAGTGCAATGGTGTGATCTCCCCTCACCACAACCTCCACTTCCTGTGTTTGAGCAATTCTCCTGCCTCAGCCTCCAGAGTAGTTGGGATTACAGGCACATGCCACCATGCCTGGCTACATTTTTGTATTTTTAGTAGATGCAAGGTTTGACCATGTTGGCCAGACTGGTCTCGAACTCGTAACCTTGTTATCCGCCCGCCTTGGCCTGCCCCAAAGTGCTGCGATTACAGGCCTGAGCCACTGCTCCCAGCCTAATTTTTGTATTTTTAGTAGAGACAGGGTTTCGCCATGTTGGCCGGGCTGGTCTTGAACTCCTGACTTCAGGTGATTTACCTGTCTCAGCCTCCCAGAGTGCTGGGGTTACCAGGTGTGAGCCACTATGCCTGACCGGTTTTTTTCTTATGAAAACACCAGTTTCTCTGTTACATCTCCATCTCCAACTGGAAGGAAGAGAAATCTGTCTCTTTGATTTAACATTTTAAAAGTCTTAGGGATGGAGAATATGGATTATTGAGGGGAGTATGAGTTTTACTCTTCCCTAAATTCCCAAAACTTAGCAATTCAAATCCAAGAAAAGGAAATTATTTCCTGCTGATTTGAGTTCAGAGTAATATTTAAGGTTTTTCTAGTAGTATGCCATGTCACCAATATCCAGATGAAATATCTTTGTAAGGACTTGCTGACCTAGGAGGTGTAGTTTCTGTTTGCTTTTTGTTTGTTTTTCATTTTTTGCCCAGATTTTACAACTGGGTACTTCCTAAAATGAAAGCTCAACAGCCTCCACTGTTACTCTGCAGTGACCAAATAATTTAAAAGGAAAGGTCAGGTGTGGTAACTCATGCCTGTAATCCCAGCACTTTGGGAGGCCAAGGCAGGTAGATCCCTTGAACTCAGAAATTCAAAAGCAGCCTGGGCTACATGGCAAAATCCTGTCGAGATTGTGCCACTGCACTCCACCCTAGGTGACAGAGTGACAGAGTGAGACTGTCTCCAAAAAATATATGTATGTATATTAAATTTGGGTTTTAGTGTGAGAAATACAGCATAGGTAGAGAGCAGCACATTGAACATTCACAATTCAAGTAATTATAGGCCGAGCGTGGTGGCTCATGCCTGTAATTCTACTACTTTGAGAGGCCGAGGCAGGCGGATTATCTTTGGTCGGGAGTTCAAGACCAGCCTGACCAATGTGGAGAAACGCCGTCTCTGCTAAAAATACAAAATTAGCCGGGGCGTGGTAGTGCACACCTGTAATCCCAGCTGCTCAGGAGGTTGAGGCAGGAGAATCGCTGGAACCCGGGAGGTGGAAGTTGCAGTGAGCCAAGAGCATACCGTTGCATTCTAGCCTGGGCAACAGGAGCAAAACTCCTTCTCAAAAACAAAAAAGAAAAAAGAAATAATTATAAAATGGACACAGGCCACCACCACTGTAGCTAAGAAATAAATTGTTGCTGTCACCTCAGAATTCCCCTCCCACGACACTTTTCTCTAGTCTCCAGAAATCTGTTTTTTAGTTTTCTTTGAAAAAATGACAAACCTACAAATATAATAATTATAATGTGTGTGCCCTTTACCTAGATTCACCAGTTGTTTACATGTTGCTCCATTTATTTTCTATTTTTCCCCTGAATCATTTGAAATTAAGTCGCAGATACGTCATTTTACCTCTGAATACTGTTTTTTTGGCTTTTTTTTTTTTTTTTTTTTTTTTAAAAAAAAAAAACATGGTTTTGCCATGTAACCCAGGCTGGTTTTGAATTCCTGAGTTCAAGCGATCCACCTGTCTTGGCCTCCCAAAGTGCTGGGATTAAGGTGTGAGCTATTACAAGTAACCTTTCCTTTTAAATTAGTTGGTCACAAACAACAAAAATAAAACAACAACAACAACAACAAAAAAAAGAAAAATAAATTAGTTGGTCATTACAGAGTAATAGTGGAGGCAGCTGAACTTTTATTTTAAGAGGTACTTGGCTTATTCTCACCAGAGCCCTATACTTGCCATAAAGAGGCAAGGATGTAAAATGTGTTACTGTTAACTGTTAGCTCTGTCATCTTGAGTAAACTTTTACTGAGCCTCAAGCTTCCTCATCTGTAAAGTAGAGATAAGCCGGGAAATAAATTACACATGAAAATGTTTTGATCATTATAACTGCATGTGCATGATAGCTAATTGTGAGTTTCTAATTGAAGTAATTTGTAGCCAAACACTTGGGTAGCTTTTTTTTTTTTTTTTTTTTTTTTTTTTTG